TACAAATTTTATCATTTATACCTTTATCTTTCTTCATTTTTACATATTTTATATTTTTAATTTTTCTTTCTTTGACTGAGTTTTTAAACATTTCATTCTCTCACCTGAATACAAACGCTTGCTCTTGATGCACACATTGACCAATAAGGTGTTGTTGCTAACGTCCAGCAGACCAATAGAAATGCCTCATTGCTCCGCCCCCCAGAAATATAGAAAATTTCATCCAGAAGCACAATTTGCATATAAAACAATTGATTAAATGTATAAAACAAAGTTTGAAAAAGTGGGGAAGAAAGTAAAGAAAAAAATTCAACAAACTTAAATTAGAAAACAAAATAATGAAATACAGGATATTGCAAAATTACAAACACAAGCTGTTTAAAAAGTTTTAAATATTTTTTTTCAAATTCCACTCACTGATTTCCTCTTGACTGACTGAGCTTGAGGTGTTAAGTAAATCAGAATGGACATCATGGTATGTGGTGTGTAAACTGGTAAAGAAGTTTACTGAAAGACATAAGGTGTTTTTATGAATTATTGCTTTATGTCTAAAATGAATAAATTCCCCTCCTTGCAGATTTATATCAAATTTTTGGTTCAAAAATTTGTAATTGTTAAAACATTATGGAGAAAGTAGCAGAAGGGAAGAGATAATTTTTTCTAGATTAAGAACTGGAATAACCTACATGAATGAGTTTTTGTTTGTAGTAGGGAAGAGAAATAATAATTTATGTGAGGGTTGTGAAAGAAAAGAAAATGTGGATCATGTTTTGATGGATTGCTTTAAATATGCACCTGAAAGAGAGAGGATGAGGAAAACAATTATGGAAAAAGGGAGAGGATTTGGTATTAAAGGAATTTTATGGACAGATGGAGATAGGGAGGACAATTTGGTCATTAATAAAGCAGTGTTTTTTATTTTTACATAACGCAAAAATAAAAAAAAATAAAAATAGAATGTAGTAGGTGGAACTGTAGAGCTACACACTCATGTACAGTAGGTGGCGGTATGCATCTGTAAGTTGATTGCAATCCGCCAATCTAACAAAGAAGAAGAAGAGGGACTTGATTTGGGAACAACGGTGGGTGAAACTGGGAATGCGACGTTAAAAATTGGTTATCCCTTAAAATTGATGACATTCCTGAGATAACCATCACCCACATTTTATATTATATTGATGGCCTTGATAGTAAAATATCTGACATGGTTAATATTATCTTTTTACTTGTTAAATATCACATACACTGCTGTAAATGGAGAGGTTCTACTCCTTGTTTTGATTTTTTTCTTAACCAATTTAAACTTTATTTCACCTCACTGAAACTTTTGAAATCTGTTTCTGCAAGAAAAGTAACTGCCAGTATCTCAAGTTTTCTTTTGTTTTAAATCCCTGCTCTATTATTATTCAATTGCCTTACTGTTTTATGTGCTTGTTTTTAGTCTTAGCCCCTTGTTTTTTTGTTTTACTTTTTCTACCTATGTTGTAATGTTCTTGCACCTCATCGAGATTTTGTATACATTTTGTTCAATAAAAAAAAAAAAAAAAAAAGAAACTGGGAATGCAGGTATGGATTTAGGCCTCAGGGTGGCGGTGTTGTAGTAAGGTGAACGCAAAGTGCCGTAAAGCACCAACGAAGAAGAAGAGGGAAGAGGCTGTTTAACGGATGTTACTTTACTACGAGAAAACCTCTGCAGAAGCAGGTATGCCTTCTGTATACAGTATATGAGCTATATAATAATCCGCCTTAATTTAAATTGCACTGATTTTGCTGCTTGTTTTACTTTAAACTTTAATTAGTGCAGAAGAATTTAGATGTAGAGACTTCATTGTGCAGCTAGCAACTCAGTAAAAGAGCTAGCTAAAAAAAAAAAAAACAGTTTCAAGCGCTTATGTTTTTATTTTCTTTCTTTCTTTTTATTTTACATTTACTTTGCGACTGCTTTATTCAGCGCTCTTAAATATCATCTTAAACCAAAAGCATTTCGTTCAAATACGAGGTTAAGGTAGAACGTATATTATCAAAAACACAATAGAAAATTTAAAAGAAACATTTTGTATGAAATATTTATCCGGATCATCGTTTTGTTTTCCTTCTCTAATGGTTTTTACCTGCTTATGATTGCAGGATAAGCAGGTAATGGGGTATATCTCCTGAAAAGAGGCTCTCCTGTTGTCTACCACAAAGCTTGCACCCACAGCCCTTATATTTATTACTTATTCCTTTCCTTATGCTGTTATCACACTCTGAATTAGTTGTGCATGATGGAGAAATAACTAGCAGGTCAGATGTATCATTGGCATGTAAGATGCAATGCATCTTAAATGTCTTCCAGATATTGCACCCATTCAGTCCTGTACTATTAAAATCACTGATGTTTTATGGACCGTCTAGTGCAGCTCTGATTTTAAGAGGTTAATTTCCTCCCCTCTGTCCCCTCATGCAAGGTCGGTATGAAGGATCACCAGCAGGGCTGGATGCTGCCAAACTTGATGCAATCTGCTGAATTGTTTAAAACAGAAAACCTTTGAACCAGTTGAATATTTAGCCGATCTTTACTGCACAGTTTGATAACTAAGATCCAAAAAGAGTTTTAAATGGCTTAGATTCTTACAGAATCTTGTGATATTGAGACACCTTAAAAATGAATGAGATACAAATGAATAAGATTAATTAAATAGATCTGAGGCATTAAGTTAAATGTACTTGCAGAACTTTAAATGCATATCCCCAAAACATTACTTGAAGAAATTTTTTGAGTTGTTTTAAATAAGCTGTCAGTTTTATTTACAAAATATGTTAAGAAAATAAGTTTTACAAGCTCTAGAGTAAAAAGTTAAATAGCTATCAACTTCCCAAGAAAATCCTCTTACAACCACCTGAAGAACAAAAAACTTTCAAGTTAGTTTTTATGACTGTTTTTCAAGATTTGAATAGATAAGTTCGAAGAGAAATGCAACACAAAGTAGGTCAGTGAAGAACTTAGCTTCCAAAAATTTGAGCCAACCTACAGTATCTGCGGTGGAGAATTAAACATATTTTTTTTCTGCTTGTAGTTCTCAGCTTAAAAGAAAACCAAATACTTTGGTAAACAAACTGGATGGTTATGGAAAAGGATGGACAACGCTGCTGCAAATAAGAACCACATACAGTGTCCGACATGGCTGGACCAGAGTGGCTGGTCCTCAGCCTCATCTCAAGGACTTTCTGTTAACCTGCAAAGCAACCCTCAAAATCTCACTCTGGGCTCTACCTCTGATCAAAGACCGTTGTTTGGCCTTCTGGAGACGTCCCATCAGAGCTCCGTAAGCAATCTGAACAGCTCAACTTCCAGAAACAACAGCCTCCTAAAGGCTGCCAACATGACCAGCATGTTTTCGTCCAACTCAATTTTTCATGGCTCCGCAATCAGCACTGCTTCTCATGGGACGAACTTTGCCTCACCATCTCCTTACACGTCTTCAGGTTTGGCAGCAACAAGCCAAATGAAAACCATCCCTCAACTTTCCCAACAAAATCAGGGTCTGCAGGTCTGTGGGGCACAGAATGTACATCCTCAGCCCTCCAATTACAAAATGTTTCAGACTCCGGTACCTGGTCATGGCTTAGCACACGGACTTCAAGATCAGTCCTTTGGTCTTTCATCATGTGGACAAAATGTGAACATGCCTCAAGCGACGTTCGGGGGACAAAGTAACGACAATAGATACCCGAACAGTTTTAGTTCACTTACTTCCATGGAGCAGCCTCAGTGGGTTCCTTCATCCAGCAGTGGGGGTAAGTTCTCCTCATTGTCTTTATTACTGTGCTGCTTTTTATTGAAAAGGTTTGGCTCTTGCTACATTGTTTTAATACAAACTAAGATTTGTAATATACTAATATAGAGTAATGTATAGTTATAATATTCAAATTGGTTTCCTTTGCTCTTTTTTATATGTGAAAATCAGAAAATAGATTTTTAATTGTATTCCAACCCATAAAGCATAACTAAATAAAATCTAATGCCTTCAACAGCCTTCATTGCTTTAATTACAATTGTGATTCCAGATGTTTATTATTTATATTCATTTTTTGTCTACGCCTCAGAGGTTTGTGAGTCAACATTGGTTTGTGATGCAAAATACGTCTGTTGACATGACAACCAGTAGTGCAGAACTCTGTCTTATATAATAAATTATGCTTTTTTGACAATTTTTCTTCATAAATTGCAACATCTTACCATTTTGTAATACATTTTCCCATGTATAAAAAAAAAACCTCAACCATAATGTTCATGCTTTGTTATATGAATGTGAAAATACATTTCCGCAATCATATTACTTTTACTATTGTTAGTTGTAATATTTTTTATCATAACATCAGTACCTGAAAAGCTCAGCTAGAATAGCTGATGTATTGTATTTGTCAGGGTTACATTACAGCTTTCAGTTAAACGCAATCTGCAGTGAAGGTTTTTCTAAAGTAGAGGCAAAGACCTGCTTGCTCTCCTGCTCCTCATGCTGCATGTTTGTTTATTTGCTTTTAGCTGAGTTAAAATGTGGCAATTCATGTCATATATCTGGTGCTTTTACTGCTGTTTAACGTCTTCTCCTCAGGTGCAGTCTCATTTGTCCCCGCTAATGTCGACAAGGCGCCATCTCTGGAGAAAGGTTTTCCTCCTGCCGTAAGGATATGAACGCCTAACTTATCTTAACTTTATCACTCTAGAGGATGATAGCTTGTTCCTTTAAAGGAGTCTTAACCGTGTATTTTACTTATTTATCCTTCTGAAAATATTCCTTCAATAAATTGCAATAATTTTTATGCAGGAATAAAAAACAACTAGAGCTTTTTTTTCATATCCCTTTTTTTTCTTGTGACACATGAGAATTTGACAAGTATATTTTGGCCTTCATATGGATTTAGCTTTAGCCACATTAGCAGCTAGCCAAGGGTTGTTTACCATTGTATTATAGTCTTTTACAGAATAAGTAAAAAATTACTAAAGCAGCCTCTCTTATCGACTGCTTGACCAAGATGGGAGTGTTGATTGAAGGGTGCGCTAATGTTAGCATCCTTCCTGGATTAACGTCAATAGAGAGGTCGGACCCTAATCCTGTTTTGTGCATAGCACGCTCTTGTTGCCTTTTTTGGTTTAAGCATTAAACCCACAGAGACACATACACAAAACAACAGCCCACCTCACACACCAGATTTTCTGGTAGGTTTTAGATTAAGGCCAAACATAAACACTAGGGGTGGAACGGTTCACAAAATCCACGGTTCGGTTCGGTTCACGGTTTCGTGGTCACGGTTTTCGGTTCGGTTCGGTATATGTTTATTGTTACACCGAAAAATAGAAAAATTAATAAAAATTATAAAAATTAATGAAATTTTTTTTAAATTAAACTAATGAAAAAATCCCCCAAAATTAATGAATTGTAATTATTTTTAATGATTTGCGGAAACCATGGATCATTTCCGCATGTTTTGCTGCTTTGAATTTAATCATCTCACGCATGCCCCCTACCATCTCCAAGGGGCTCAGAGGGGAGCGGACGGGAGCCACAGTGGAGGCTGTAGGCTTTGGTTTGTGCAGGTGGTCTGGAGCGTAGCTGGGAACTGATGGAGTATGTGGGATTTCGGGGTTAGCATGACATGTTGGTCATGTTGCTGTTAGCATAAACAAAACGTGTTG